TGGAAGTAGAGAGGGTCATATATATATATATATATATATATATATATATATATATATATATATATATATATATATAAAAGCTGAATGAAAATTCAGTGCAATTCCATTCCTCAATTTTCCCGCCAGAAATGATAATCCAATGGCTATAAATACTTTGGTACACATGGCAGCTATATATTACATCTCATCTTGTAAACATATACTCCCTCCGTCCCGGAGTATTCGTCCAGTTTTGACTTTTGGAACTGTTCATCTAAGCACTTTGACTCATCAAATTCTCTTAATGTGTAAGCCTAAATATAGTCATGTGTGATCTTGTTTGATTTGTCTTAACATATAGATTATTAATATATAATTTCTATATTTTTTTAATATACAAATTACAAGATAAAATGGATTAAAGAAGTGTATTGGATGCTGTGTAAAAATGAAAGTGGACAAATACTCTGGGACGGAAGTAGTACAATAACTTAAGGACAAAACATATTTAAGTACATGTCATCTCAATATAATAAATCCAGCCAAGTACTACATGAATGAAATTGCACTGCCCCAACATCCATTGCATCAATAAATCCAGCCAAGTACTTCACGAAAGACACCGGTCCATATCCCTGTTATTTTGCTGACATTTAATCATACTCATATCCATAAACAGGAATATATAAGCTACTAGCTTTTTGACCCGTCCCACGCACGGGGTCAAACAATTTTTTAGTCGATTTTAAAAAAAATTTCGTTGCAATATATTTTCTAGAATAAAAAAAATTTATAGCAGGATTTTTAGTAAGATAGACACGAACACTAATGTAAAATAAATAATATTTGAATAATTGAGAGTGTACTCAACAAAGTATTTTTTATTTCCAAATTTTTTTTGAAAGACTTCAAGCTATACTACTTGTGAGTTATTGTCATCTATAAATAATATTTTTAATCATGTATTTGTTGAGAAACAACATAAAGCTGATCATGACTTTGGTAGGTGGTATCATTTTTATAAGATATTTTTATCAATCCCAATTTTAAATTAAAATTTAGGTATTACCTTATCCTGAAATATTCATCCAATATGTCTTTTTTTGTAGTCACACTAGAAAAAATTTGATGGAGCATTAAAGAAAAATTACATTATACATTGGAAAAAATTTATTTGTTAAATTTTTTTATATCTTTCTTTAACGTGGTGGTAAAAATTTACTTAGAAATAGGCTACAATTACCTTCCCTTCAAGAGGGATCATAATTTTTATACAAAATTTGTGCCCACAAACATGATTTCAAATTTTCAATACTATAGTTTCTGTTACTTATTCATATTTTCTTTATTATTTTTATATATGTAGGTATGATCCATCATAGAAAAATTTATAAACAAAAGCTATATTATATAGAATAATAGTTATGGAACGCAATATACGACAAAAGACCATTTTACTGAAAGTTATTGAATTTTAAACTTATCATAGACCAATACATTTGAACCTAGACATATATTTAAGCTTTTAGGCTAAACCGCTAAACCAAATAAAAGTATTTGTAGATAAACCCATAAAATCATCTATTACTATCCAGTCTTACATGGTGTAGTTTAATCATCTACTACTATTCACTCTTACATGGTGTAAGTCAAACTGTAAAACAAAACTCTTCAATAAATCAAGTATAATACTCGGATAAAAATTTAAATTACTCAGATAAAAATTAAGAAGCATAAATACAACTCAAAAAGATATAAAAGATCTTCATTTCTAAGTTTTTTTTGGAGATTTGGATGACTTCTAATAACATTTTTTAAAATAAAAGAAAACCATTGGATTTGGATACCATGTGGCCAGAGTGGCCGTTGCAAAACCTCCAAGCCAGGCTAACCACCCGTGCTAAAATGGACCACCTCTAAAAGAATGGTCTTGAGCGCAAGGAACCCAAGAAGGATAGAAAACCTAAAAAATGAACAAATAAATTTTATGTATGGAATAAGGAGTGCACGATCAAAATGAAATGCAGGGGTCCTATGCATTCCTAATGCTTATTCTGATCTAGGTCAAGCCAATTTGAAAGATGCTTTTGGAAATTGTTCTTAGAGATGCAAAGTTTTCTTTGAAAAGGAGTAGGTTCAAACAAAATATCTTCCTTTCAATTGAAATCAAAGTAGAAATGTACACCTTCAATGTCGATTCTTTTACCCGTGTCGGACATTTGATCGGGACACAAAATCAGTGTTGTGACCCCGTGCAGGCAGTCCAGATTTTAAGCTCGGGACACCATGTTCATCATCATCGTGAACATCATCAATCAGAAATTCTGACCAATCGTGTCAAACTAACTGATCTCCGGACTGTAATAAACAGAGGGGTCATACATATATATTGTTAATAAAAGAAGTTGCAACATTTATTAATAGAGTACCTTTATAGCCGGGTAACTCTCCGACATATTCCGACTAAGCAGAGAAAACCAAGTTAGCTGTCAGTCTTGTAATTAGAAAACCCTCTTTATATATATCAACACACGCACGCACAGTTTTATACTCCTAAGTTTTTCTGTGAAGCTACATATAGCACTGAGAACAACAACTTACCTCCATAACAATATGTTGATGATGGGTGTTCATTAAACGTGCTAGGAACTGGGGAATGAAACAGAACCGATAGGAGTATAATTCACAGTAGTTCTTTGTATGTGTGTTTGATGGGGTGAAGGTAAATATACGAATTTCAGAATTGCCAGCAAACGAAATTTAGATTAAAACCCGGCTTATCGTGTTTTAAGATAGAAAAAACTTTGGAAATTCAAGAGGATGTGGGGGAACTATGAAGTGAAAAACATTCTAAATTTAAGTACATCCTTTACATTTTGAGTTGTTCCAAAATTATCTTCACATAGACAAATTTATCAACCATGAAGGGGAACAACATTTATACATGTATAAAATTAATCTTATGTAACTCATACTCCAATAATAACCTAGTGTATGTCCGTAAATAAAAAGGACGACATTTCACCGTATTGTCTGGTACAACTCCAGAAGTATCTTTGGCCCTAGTTTTATAATAGATATAAATCCTGTAAACAGAAGATCCTCTAATGAACTTTGAATGTTTATAGCTAAAACTAAGAAACGGTTCTTTCCACTTGGAGGATCTTCTGTTACACGATTTAAGTCAAGCTTGATGTGTACATATCAAATACAAAAAACATGTCATATGTCATAAATAGTTTAAAAACCTATAAGCAAAATGAAAACCTGAAATGAAAAAAAGTACACGAATACTCAAAATCAACACTAAATACACCCAAACAAAGTTATCAAAATCAGGGGTTTCAAAAATCAAAATAATCTTATTATGAGAAGCTTTTAATAAGCTTATTCCCAAAGTGGAAAGTTTCCAGTTAATAAAAACATAAATTTATTAACAAAGCTTTGAAACCATAAAACATTTTTCTAGGACACAATATGGAATCTAAAATCTCCCATACTAAGCAACTTTTTCATTAAATTAGAATGTCAATAGGGAGATAGCACTTTCTAACCTGTACATTTGGGCTCCACTTGTTGTATAATTAAAATATACTAATTTTATAGTATATACACAAAAAAAAAAGCATAAGTCCTGCTACGGGTAGGTGCACCAATATGATACACACAGAAAAAAAATAGTCAAGCAATTGATGAAATAAGGCATGGACTTACCATATTATGAGTCTAAATAAGGTATGTAATCAATCTCACATGCCCAATTTGTGAATCGAAATGCATGAAGTTACCAACAAAATTAGGGAATTCAAGAATCGGATTTTGATTGCAATAAGGGAAACCGAGAATCTAGAATTGGAACCCATGAAGTTACCAATTGAATAACAATTGGATATGAATATTGGAAACAAACCTAGTTCTCGAAGCCTTGAAAAATTCCGATCGCGCAATCAGGGATTCTGGCAATGATGAACATTTTGAGACTTTAGTCCTTTCGCGAAGAATACATGTGAAATCTGCGTAATTTTTGGCTAATAATTAATCCCTCTCGCGAAGAAGATATCCGTCTGGTGAAGAAGACGGATCCTTTCCTTTGAGAAGGGTTTAGGTGAATCAGTCGGACTGATAATCCATAGACGCGTGTAGTGTTGTATAGACGACGCACATCTTCATGTCTCCACATACACTGAGACGTTATGTTACATAAGAGGTTCAAAAAGCAAGGTGATATGAAGACAACTACTGTCAAAATTTGCAAAGGAATTCATCACATAATGCCTATCACCTAATCATTCATCTTAATTAGGGGTAACGTATCCTAAAATAATCCTAAAAGTATAATGCTAGAAATAAAAAATTGATAGGAATGTCTTTTCAAGTACTATATGATCTTAAAGTTAGGTTCCTAAAAAAAGCAACAAAAAATAGAAACACTCATTTTGACATTTTCTCAAACACTTTGAAGGCATAACACATGTTCTACTTTTACATTGAATTTAAATTTAAGAGTAAAACTCCGAAATTAACAAATCTATATTAATGTAAACATTAACATACTAAAATCATTTATTTACAGTATGCATAACTTTTAAAGCAATTTTTTATATAATATGTGAAAATTAAGATATAAACATTATTTTCTGTAAAAAGTGTAAATTAAGATTTAAAGAAACTTACATTTCGGTTTTGCAAAAAAAATGGATGAGGCAGGGATATTTTCGTCCTGGCCGATTATTTGTGAAATAGAAGAAGAGCCGAATCCTAAGCATTTTACGCCAGAATCCAGTTTCCCAAAATTTATCTCTGCGCCAAAATGATCGTCATGTATGCAGAATGGGAGACCATCTGCTTCATCATCATCAGAGCATGTAACATCTGTTGGGATTTTAAGCGCGTAAGATACCGAAAAATATTGAGAACACCAGAAAAATGAGAGAACAAACCCAAGAAGAATATATGAAAGAAAAAAAATTATATTTCCACTATTTCAGGACAATATACAAAAGGAAAAATTACTTGTATAACACTAAAACAATGCCCCTTTCTTTTTCTAGCACTAGTGTTAGGAAGTCAAATGTTTTAATGTCGCAGGAGTATTGAAAAGACTAAAATGACCTTCATTTTTTTTCGTAGATCTAAAAACCGCGCAGCCTCTTTCCATTCAAGACGTTCGGATCCCTAAAGTCACGGCATTTCCTTCGAAGGTCTCTTCTTGTAGAAGGTAATTCACCTTGAATTTTGGAAGGAAATAGGATGCGGCTGTCAAGTGCGTGTTTAAACCCTAAATTGAGTAAACGCAGAGGGAGAGAATTGAGAAACAAAGACCAAAACGCAGGAGAGGTTGCGGCGACGAAGACAGTGAGAAGTGATAGTGAGTCGCCGATTGTGATGTCGGCGAGGAAGACGACGATGGCTGCTGGAGTTGCTATTAACAACAACACCGAGATTGTTGGCGAAGAGGGCAGTGAAATTACTGTGAAATGCGTTTCTGGGAAGGTTAGTTTATTCTGTGTATGGCATTTTTTGGACATTATTCATAAAGATGAAGTTTTTGTTAGTGTTTGAGAAGAAAAATAATGTATTGTAGTGGTGTAGTGTGTTGCATGTTTTGGGTTTTTTTTTTGTGAATGATAGGTAGTAGGCAGTGTAGAGGATTTTGGGATTATGAAGGTGTTGTCCTTTGAATGTGCATATTATTAAAGATTAAACATGATTGAGTGTTTTTGAGGGAATTAAAATCAATTTCATGAGAAAGTAAGTGTAGTGTTTCATTAGGGTTAGTATACTGTTTCTTAATGGTGTTCCATAATGGTCACTGGACTGTGCTATGTCCATGTCAGTTGGTCAATGTGTTTTGTTATTGTTCAGTGTATTATGTAATGGATAGTATGAAGACTAAGGGTAATTTGGAGTCAGAGTTTAAAAACAGTCCAGTGTTCTTGGTTTTAGAGGGCAGTGGTGTTTTTATGTGCATGGTATTAAAAGCAAAGGATCATAATGGGGTTTTGAAGGAGTTAATATCCAATAGACTACCAAGTAAGTGTATTGTTTCTTAGGGCAAGTGTAGTGTGAAAATGAGTTTCTTTTGATCTGTTCCGTATAGTGTTTGTTCTATGTCACTGTAAAATGCTATCTCCATGTTGGTTGTAATAACAATTGGGTTTTAATGACCAGAGTAAACCAGTGCAGTGTGTTGAATATATTGTCAGTGTTTATTAATTCCAAATATGCTGTCAGCAGGGCAGTGTTTTGGTTTTTAGGGAGGCAGTGTTAATTGAATGTGCAACGTATTATAGACTGTGCTAACTGCTCTAAAGGAATGAACTTTGGTGAAGTGTGTTTTGTGTAATCGTAGAAGATTATGTCTGTTTTTTAAGTGTGTTGTGACATGGGAGATTATGTATATTTCATTTAGGAATACCGAAGGATGTGCAGAGAAGACATCTTGGCTTCCAAGACAAACGTCAAAGCTAATTGTTATTGCAATTTGTTGAGTGGGGTCGAGAAGCTACGACGAACATTGTCAAAATCGGAGTTGGAGGCTTTGGGCAAGACGCCCTTTGGTCATTTGCTTGATGTTGGCAATCTTAAATGGGTTAATGGACAGCTCCTAATACTTTTAGCGTTGAACTACGTTGAACCTATAGAGCCAGATAGTGATGCAATATCTTTCCACATCCGTGATAGGGTGGTCAGTTTTAAGAATACTGATTTTGCTCTGATTACGGGTTTCAAATTTGGATGTCCAGCTGAACAAGAGAGGGAGTACACTAGCACTTCAGACATCAGTAGCAGATATTTTGGGGGTAGAAGTGTTGTGACACGTGATGAAGTGCGGGTGGTCTTAGAGGGTCTAAAGGACAACAAGAGAAAAAGAGAGATGGATGGCGTGAAGATAGGAGTCCTTTACCTTCTGGGCAGTCACATAGTTGGAAACCAACTCTCCATGAAACTGCCACCACTTTATTTGCATTTGATAGATGACTTGTCCCGTTTCAACGCGTGTCCTTGGGGCGATGAGATTTGGGATCTTTTGGTTGAGGACATGGCAAAGTGTTCATCGACTTTGAGGACAAGTAAAAAGGACCGGTTCACATTCCCGGGATTTTTAATGGCTTTGCAGATTTGGGCATTTGAGACATTCCCAGGACTGGAGAAAAGGGAAGTGTGCGAGATGATAGAGAGTCGGAGAGGCCAATGGCCGCGTGCTTTACGATGGGCAGAACCAACACTGACAAATCACATAGTGTTGGAGGAAGTGATCTTCAGTAATGATAAGGTATGTGCTCGTTTTTCATTGTTTGACTCCTTTTTTTGTGTTTTAAAGGTATTCTGGAATAGTACTTGGACAGTAATCATTTTGTGAGGTTCTTTTACAGTTTGAATGGATTGGCATGAAGGCAACTGCCTTGGAGATTGGGAAAGAGAATGTTAAGTGTCTCTTTTTAAATACCCCAATGATTGAAGGAGATGGAAGCCTTAAGGTACTGCAAGTGTGTGATCAAGGGGCCAATGCCAGGAGTCTTGAAGGCCCGCCTAGTAATGAGCATTGTGGACAAGAAGAGGGGAGGATCCTTGCGGAAGGAAAGAATACATTTCATTGGGGAGTTGCTTGTGATAATGGAGGAGAAGCCCGGAGTACTAAGCATGTTGGTAAGAAGCGTAAACCCAACGTAAGGACCCCGAGTCAAGGCAAAAAAGGGAAAAAGAGGACATGTGGCAAGAAAGGTGATGACAAGGCAAGGAAAGGGGATAATGAAGAGTTGTTGGAAAAAGTCACAAAACTGGAGGAGATGGTTACTGGTCTAGTGGCAGCAAATGTGTTGGATCGCAAATTGCTTGTGAGCTTGCGTGGGAAAGTGAAGGGAATGCAAAGAGCACATGAGAGGCATGCAGTTCTGATGGAGAGATGCTTGAAGAAGTGTGGTTTAATACGTAGGAGGAAGAAAGGAATTAAAAAGAGCAGACAACATGCTGAAGATGGTCCTAGCTTTGACCTAGGCATTGAGCATGGAGGTAATGAGGATTCAGCAGCTGATCAAGAAGAAGGTAGTGAGGACAATGTAAATTTAGGTGCATCTAATTATGAGATAGAAAACCCTACCCAACTTAATGACTTGGATGACACGATTAATTCTATTAATACACAAATTCTTTTGGAACGTCGTGCTGTCATGGTACGCAATATTGTGCGTGACAATGTGGGGAGTGTTGGAGATTATAGCGCGGAAGAGCCTGTAAGGGTAAGTAGCACTGATTTCGATCATATGTATTTCATTAACTTATGTGAATGGGAATATATGTATAACGTTGAGCTTTGTATGTGAAAAGAATGTCATTCATTTTTTTGTACACATTTTTTAAATATCCAGGTGGAGAATCATGTGGAGAAGATTGCTAGTGAAGACATGAGATCTGGGGATTCCAATGTGCCTATCGCTATCCTAGCTGAAAAGGAGGGGGTTAGAATATGCTCAACTACCTTATACCTTTGAGTATTCTAATAATGAAAATATGATCCTATAAATCTGTTTTTAATAACATGTGGTCAGTGTGTAAACAAGACCCATGTAACATGTGGGCAGTGTGTGTTAACATCCTCCATTGTGACTAATAACAGGCCCCATGAAACATATGGGTAGTGTGTGTCTGTTAATGGACATAGGACATTGCGTATACATGGGCAAAGTGAAGGGCAGTGTGTATATTAATATAGAATTGGAGATTAATCACAGTTCCCCTGAAGGGTAAGGACAATGTGTGGGATATGTATTATGGACAGTGTGTGGGTATGCCAAACTTCAGGGACAGTGAGTTAATCACATAATTGGCTACGGTTTAAGCAGTGACCTTGGGTAAAATAGATAGGGGACAGTATAGCCAGATATAATTTTATGAACATTAAAGTATGTTAGACGGTTCTTTAAGGAAATGCATTTACGCACTTATTTTTTGAGTCATTGGTGTGGAGTGTGATATGAATGAGGAATTCTCTAATACACGTGGCCTGTATGCGTACAATAGGTTAAAACCGTTAAAACACTGTGGGTGGTGATGGAGGGTCAAGCTTTTTTCATGTGCGTGGATTAGATTAAGTGACATGCTCTTACTCATTGATGGCAGATTCAGATTCTTGATAATGGCGGCAGTCTACAAGGTAATGCCGTGGGGATGAGTGTGGGAAGGAACGGAGTCACACCTACACAGCTGAGTGAGGTAATTTTTTAAATGACATTAGCTTTGAGGAATATAACGTGAAATTTAAATTCAATTTAAATGCTGCCCTCTAAAAAGTTCACACTCTTGTTATAGTTATTTGAAGGGGTGGATTTTGATGATTGGCCAATGGGTGATCAGCAAGTCGCGCAAGCCGATACAGTAGTCGATGATAGTCAGACAGAAAAAGCGAATGAAGAATCGATCCATTGCACACAAGTTGTTGTGAGTAGCAATGCGCTTTAAATAATGTTTTCATGTGTTGTAACTATCCTATCAGATAGTAATGTGTTATAACATATTTCTTAAATGTTGTGGAAGGAACACAACCCCAGAGGGCATGGTGATGCATATGATCGACCAAAACGGAAATTGAAATCTCCTGAGAGGTTCACTTTTTCAGAAAAAAAGCTGGTGAACAACGCAAGCGAGCAAAAAGAAGGGCCGATGTTATTGTGAGTAAGTCAGTATGTGATGAGGAACTGTGCCTCGGTCCTTTCACCAAGGAGCCGATGGAACTTCCTGAGGTAGGGGTGTTAGAGAGGGTTGACACCTTCATGCATAAGGGTCTGCTGAAAAAGCCAAAGAACCCTGGACGGAGATACACTGCTACAGATGAAAAGCTCAGTGCAGATGCTATAATGGCGCTTGATGATGAGGAGGACACCTTGAGCAAAACATGGTATTACAACCTCTATTTCCCTGATGGGTGCCTATCAAACCTGGTATGTCAAATCAAGTAACGTTCGCTTGTACTATGTAAAACTTTATCAATTTGTTTTATAGTGGTGAATATAGTTTGAAACGGGGGGGTTTAAATGGTCAGTAT